ACATGTATACACATCTGTATTCTTATAAATACCTATATACAACTAAGTTAAAGTGCATATTGTATTCCCAAACTCACTAATATGCCATATCATTCATTAAGTCAGAATAAGGTTAGAGATTGGGAGTCAGGATGTGTCAGGCTTTTGTTGACTCAGCCAGGAACTACTTAGACAAGGCCCCAGGCCTCTCTCGGGTTTTGTTTGGTTTCCTTTTCCTTAATTTTTGCACCCCCCCATTCATAAAATGCAGATTTAGGGCTTATCTCTTATTTGCTTCCAGTCCTAAAGTATTTTGGTTATTTGAAGAATGTAAATATGGGCATCACTCATTAAGATTAAACAGTCACTTCCATATAATGAGGAAAATGGATGATTAATAGAAACTGGTGAGAATAAATATGCAGCAACAGGTGATTAAAAGACTATAGCAAGGGAGGTTAAATTTTAAACAGGTGAAACTGTTTAATTATAACTTCAAAGGGAGGACCCCCTACAGTCTTAATGAAACATCAAGGTAGCAAACAACTGAAATGTCAGTGAGAACAGTCAACTCTAGGCAAAAACAAGTAGAAAGAACCTCATGTCATCTTTTCTCTTACTACTGAAAGTGTAGTCTATCAAAAACATGCAAGGCAGGCACTGTGGCTCATGCCTGTAATCCCAGCTCTTTGGGAGGCTGAGGCAGGACTGCCTAAGCCCAAAAGTTCATGACCAGCCTGGGCAACATAGCAAGACCTCAGCTCTACAAAAAATGTTAAAATTAGCCGGGTACCGTAGCGCACGCCTGTAGTTCCAGCTACTTGGAAGGCTGAGGAGAAGGATCACCTGAGCCCAGCAGGTCAAGGCTGTGGTGGCCGGGAGTGGCCACTGCACTCCAGTCTGGGCGACAGAGTGAAATTCCAACTCAAAAAAAAAAAAAAAAGAAAAGAAAATGCCTGTTATCATTTCTGTATATTTCTTATTATTCGATGTGCATAATACATTTTTGTTTAAGACCATATTACATTTATGCAGTTTGATCTGAAACATATTTTTAAAAGCATTATATTCAATCATGTGGGTGCCCCAAAACTTAACTGAGCTCTCACTTTTAGACACTAAAGCTGTTTCGTTTTTATACATTACAAAATGTGTTGTCACAAATATACATAAAACATAGGGTACACCTCTGATTAGTTCCTTAGGATAAATTCAAGAAGTAGGCTGAGTGAATATTTTTAGTCTTTCTGATACATACTGTTAAATTGCCCTTCAAAATTGTAGCACCAGTTTTTAAACGAATTTTAAAATAAATGTTATGAACCATTTGCTCCCATCTTTTGCAACCAGATGCAGCTTGAATAAGAGGAGATTAAGTTTCTTAGAAAACAAATAGCAAATTAGGCAAAGTAAATAAACCCTATAGTTATATTAATTATTATTAAGTATGGTTTAATAAATAATAGGTCTTATAGTCTGCAAATTTTGTTTTCTTGAGTTACATTTTGTTTCTGACATTACTGAGTTTTGATCATGCTTTTAGTTAAAGTCTGTATTCAGATTACAAATCATTGATATTTAGTATCCTGATGTAAATTATCTCTGAATCTGGGATATAGTACTCAGTGGCCACAACAGTGAACCATTACTGTAAATGAATGACACCTGGAAACAAAAACGCTCTTAAATCTGAAAAATCTAAGAAATGTTTCAAACTAAGAGCACAAATATTTGTAAAATCATATCAAATGCTATCTTGTCACTGGTGGCTCAGCCTGTAATCCTGCGCTTTTGGGAGGCTGAGGTGAGTGGATTGCCTGAGCCCACGGGTTCGAGACCCACCTGGGCAGCGAGACCTCATCTCTACAATAAATCAAAAAATCAGCCAGGCGTGGTAGCGCATGCCTGTAATTCCGGCTACTGGAAGGCTGAGGCGGAAGGATCGCCGGAGCCCAGCAGGCAAGGCTGCGGTGGCCGGGAGCAGCCGCTGCACTCCAGTCTGGGCGACCAAGTGAGACTCCAACTCAAAAAAAACCAAACAAACAAAAAATAATAATGATAATGTCAAATAAAAAAGATAGAGGGGGAGAAAATTGTAAGAAAAATCTAAGGTAAATAGCAGAAGGATCAAAGTAAAAAGAAGAAAAGTAAAAATGTTAAAACATACTCCATAAATTAGAAAACAAACATAATGGGAACATATATAGAGGAGATTGGAGCAACTAATAAGAACTAAAACAATGGAATAATTAGGTGAAAGAAAGTAAATAAATGGTTAACTATCATCTGATGTTACAATATAGTGTTTTATCTCCCTTCTGGATGCGCCATCATTCGGTCATCTCAACTAAGTAGGACACTGCTGAGAACTAGAAAACAAGAGGGGAAAGGGTCTCATGACAGCCAGAACTGACTACCATACTACACAACTCCAAGTGCTTCTCTCAAATAATCACTTTAAATCCTTACTTTAAATGGAATACTGAGAAATGTGGTTATGTTTTCTCTGTCAGTAGCATATTAAAAGTAGTCAATCAGAAGCAAGGAGAGACTTCCTGAGACTGGTGCACTGAAAATACCATTACATTAGCCAGTGATCAAGGACACACATACAACATCACCACTGACAACAATATACTCAAGAACTGAAAAAGCACAGTAGTCTCAAAACATAAGAAGGTAGAAACAACCCTAAGCTTCACAATTAGCCCTAAATATATTAGAAAACGACAACCCTAAGAGATGAAAATGTTTAAATTATGGTCAGTGAGTTCTGTTTAAAACAGAAGGGACAGGCCACATTTTAAAGTGGGCCCCACCCTGAATGATTAAAAAATAGAGACAGACTTCAATACCCCAAAATTTTACTTATGTTGAACATCCCATTCCTAAGCCAAAATAATTATGGCACAACAAAAATAATGAAACAGCTCCACTCTTGGTAGAGAAACTATAATTTTGAGCATGAAAAAGATAAACCACATTTGAAATTTATCTGAATAAGATAAGCACAGTGATTAGTATCCTAGCACAGTATGTATCACATCCATCTGTACACTACCTGCAATGGTCTGGCATCCTGAGCTCACTGACATGTCACATTTGCTTTGGCACATGTGCCCTGTGCCACTTGAATCTTAGTTATTTGGTGTTCCTCCAACAAGTTCAGAAGCCACAAAAAAGTGCTATCATCTGACTGTCTTCCATATTTCACATAGTATTAGAATTTGTACTGTTTCACTAACAGTTACAACAGAGAACTGGAATTTTAGTACTAAATCAACAATTTATACTTGACAAAGTTTTTTGGTATTTACTATATGCCAAGTGACCCCGCTCTACGTAAATGGGGTAGATTTAATTATAGAAACTTAAAGATTCCAGAGTCATCTACAATATGCAGTTATATAATCAGTTTTCCACTACTGATTTTCCAACCAGTCTCCCCAGTATTAATAAAGATTGTATACACATTGTTTATCTGGTAACATCATCATTAAAAAACAGACAAAATTCCAATTTTTCTTTGTATTTAAATGAAACATAATTTCACCCATATTACATTATCTTTCTCACAAAAACACTGTGCTGAATTAAGAAAATATGACCAAAATTTCAGCCCAAAAGAATAATATTTTAAGATACCATGTAAAAAAAACACCTCAGATTATTTAAATGAAATTACAATTTTTATTACCAAAAATATGTTCTATATTGCATCTAATTTTGAAATGAAGATAAATTAGGTAATAATTAACCAAATAAAATATCTAAGATCCTTCTTTAGAATATCTAAATCTGTATCTAATTGGCCATCTAGCTTTCCAACTTTCAATGTCACAGTAACATACAAGAAAAAGCACAGAAATCAAACACACCTATGAAGTATTCTTGCCCTAAAACTTGTACTTGAATCTGATCAATCCTCTACTATTTCAATTAAAATTAAAAGTGGGGCACAGAGGAACATCGTAAAGATGTAGTCATCCAAATCCAAACTATGAGAAATGCTATAGGACAGACAGCCCAATTCCTTCAACAAATAAATTCAGAGTGCCTCAATGCTTCATTTTATACCCACATTCAATCTCATTTTCCTGAAAGCTAGTATTGAGTTTCTTACTCTATGGTTAACTGTATAATGGAAGTCTAAATACTGTACTGAAATCATGTGTCTCCCATTACAGTACTAGCATAGCAGATTACAGCAAAGTGCTTAGAAGTTAGCCAGTCTGAGTAAAAATCCTAGCTTTGCCCCCTCAGTTAACTCATCTATAAAATGAAGAAAATACTACCTGCTACTCAAAGGAATTTTAAGGATTCCACGAGAAAATGTATGTAAAGCAGCTAGCACAATGCTTGACATATCTTAGTAACGACCTAATGACTGAATAAATGAAAACCATAAGCAGCAAAATTAAACAGTTGTGAATTTCATCTCCTTTGATTTCATCTAATCACCTTCTTATAGTATCCAGTGAATAGTAAAATACCAAAATGGCTATTACTTCTAGTAAGAAAAAATTAGGAAAGAATAAAACCAGGCTATCAATTTCTAAATAATTGAGCCTCACTCTAAGGTACTAAGGAACACTGTAATCAATGCAAATACCACCTGATGAAGAACGGCGCTATTAAGAAAAGGGCTAGACTCGGCCAAACTTGTTAAGAGCAATCAAACTTATTTTTTAACTAAAAGCTGTCAACATAATCATCTTCAAGATAAATTTTAATAATATGAAAACATTTTAAAAGAATTTTTTAAACATCAACATTTCTATTATGAATCTCCAGTTTTCTCATTTTGAAAAACACTAATAATAAATAAACTAACTTTTCCATCTGAACAGTAGGTGGCACAACTTACATACTGTGAGCCAGCTGCTGCAAATTGAGTGATACCGTAATTTAAAAAAAAAACTCAGCATAGCATCATCCAAATTTCTGAAAACATTCATCTAAGATTGTTTAAAAGTCCTAATGTGAAAATGAAATTTTTCAAATAACATGAAAATACTTACATCTCAATTTGTCCAGCATTTTTCCACCACACATGGTTGCTAACATAGCTTTAACTGAAAATACCGTCAACTTGCCTCGGCCCTCACTGCAAAATAAATTATATTAGAAATAATTGCTATCTGGAACCACAAAAGCAATCAAATGTATCACTAAATATCAAGCAGCCAATAAATTGAATCCTTCCCTTATGTGTAACAATTTTACCACATTGAGAAACCTGGATTTTTTTTTCTTTATAGAACTAAGGCTATATCTCCACTAAGTGAAGAATGCTAAAGCTAACCTTAATTACCTGAAAATGAGTTTTGGAAACATGATTTAATTTCTATTGATTATGAGGGTACAGGCCAAATGGGTGAACCTGAAGTAAATTTCCTATCAACTAAATCCATTAAATCCACAGCTGCGGTTTTCAAGTATTCAAAAAAGAGGGGTCACCTGGTTTGAATATAATTTAGAAATGTATCCCCATCAATATATTATACCAATAATTTACTGTTATCTACTAAACAAGCAACATATTGCTATACAGATTTTATAGTACATTCCTTTTTATTTGTTTTTACTGCCACAACCTTTATGCTACCATGTGTTTAATCTAACAAACACCTGTTTCAGATCTTCTCATACGCCACTGTGAGAAAAGCAAAGGGCAAGAGATAATTCTTTTCTAGGAAATGAACGGATTAAACGTAGAAAAGCACCCAAAGTGCTGCTGCACAGCATCTGCAGGACCAAGACAATATCACCAAGGCCCCCTGACCCAATGTGTCCTTGGCTCCATCCATTCAACTATGCCCTTGTTTCACAGTAGATAAAACTTTACTAGCTGGTGTTAAAGTTACCATATATAAGTTAACAATGAGCTTTTGTGTTAATTTTTTAAAACCTGTGTTTATAAAGTTTCAAAGTAACTTAGGGTAAAATGCTTTTGTAATAAGGAGAGCTATATTGTCCTGGTTTTGTGAAAAGCATGTATCATCCTATTTATATTGACTAATAGTTACAATAGAGTGTTTTCCATTTTCTATACCTTCTTTGTATATAGAAAGATCATACCTGAAAAAAAAAGGCAAATGGTCTATAAGCCAAACAGTTCTCAGTGAAAACATCACCAGAAAAATCAATGTTTGTTATAGTCAGATTTTTAATTATTACATCTCACTGAATTTATTCATAAGATAAAATAGGAATCCCTGCAACTAGTTAAAATTAGGATGTTTTTTAAAAAACATATAGTTCTTCAGAAACAAAGACACAGCTCCATGTATAAGCAAAAAGTAAGGAATAGTCTTGTGTCAAATATCCACTGCACTATATGAGAAAATATAAGAGGCTATAAAATCATTAAGTTAAAAGGAATGGATTTCTCAGACGAATACAGAATGTTCACAGTGGCCTTTTTTTTTTTTTACACCAACCACTCAAATGCTGAGTCTACATTTAAGCACACCCTACTTTATGAGACAAATACATTCCCCACTACTAAAGTACAAAGAAAGAAAGAAAAAAATCATATACATGCTTCCCCATCTTTCTTTGAAACTAGAACATGGGTATATGATACAGCTGCACCAGCAAGAGTCACTCACTCTAGACTTTGATAGAAATCAATTCCCTGTGAGAAGCAGAACCTCTATTAGAATCCACCTGCAGAGGATGGCAGCAGTAGGAACAGCTCTATCCAGTGTCCTCAGGCAGCAGAGATAGTGATTCTTGGGGCAGCACTCAGAACCCAGCATCAATGGTGTTTGCAGCACAAGCAGCAATGTCTGTGCCTCCACAGTACTTATATAATATCTGCTTTATAACAATTCATTAAACTATACTTTATGTATTTCTCTGTAGATGCCTTATATGCCTCCATAAAAACTGTTGTAAGAAAAGACTAGGAAAATAAGGGTCAATTATTATTCCCTATTTTAACAGAACTGGGTCAACAATTAATAGACAAAGCTAACGGATTAAGGGGGAAAATTATGAAGGAGAAACCTACAGATTAAAAGATAGGACCTAAGTTATATACAGAGGGTGCCAAAAAATGTATACCCGTTAAGAAAGGAAAAACTGTATTAAAATTCTAATACTCTATATACTGATAAGAAAAGATGAATACAAGTCATGTTTGACTTCTGCAATTACAAGAGGTGCTCAAAGTGGTTACTATCAGCCAGACACTTCTAATTTTGGTAAACTAAAAGTAACAACATCTCTTAAAATGTATATACTGCAATATATAAAATTGTCCATAAGAAAATATATAAACAAAATAAAAACAGTAAAAATACCAAGGACCGGGCCCAATCCTTAGAGATTCAAATTATTTAGCCTAGGGTGGAGACTTGGAGCTGACAATTTTTTTTTTTTTGATTCGTAGTCTCACTCTGTTACCCAGGCTGGAGTGCAGTGGCACACATGCGGCTACTGCAGCCTCAACCTGCTGGGCTTAGGTGATCCTTCCACCTCAGTCTTCCAAGTAGCTGGAACCACAGGTGCATGCCACAACACCCAGCTAACTTTTTGATTTATTGTAGAGACAAGGTCTCACCAAGTTGCCCAGGCTGGTCTCAGACCCCTGGGCTCAGGCAATCCTCTCGCCTCCACCTCCCAAATTGCTGGGATCGCAGGCATGAGCCACAGTGCTGGCCTAGCACTGGTAATTCTTAAAATCTCCCCAGGTGATTCAAAAGCACAGCCAGAATTGAGAACCACTGACCACAAACAAATCAACTTTATTAAAAATAAAAACCAATTAAACAATGGGCAAGGTGCATACACATTACACAAAATATAGATGAAGGAAACAGAAATGACTACTAAGCACATGGAAGGGCACTGATCTTGAAGAATAATAAAAGAAACGCAAATTAAAACAATAATGAAATTTTTTTTAATGTCATATGTTATTGACTGTCCCCAAAGGTTGTCCTTAGTCTAAACAGTGTCAAATATGACTTAGGTAGACTATTTTTTAAAAAACAGTTTGAACAAAAGAATAAAATAATGTCTTTTGCAGCAACTTGGGTTGAACTGGAGGTCATTATCCTAAGTAAAGTAACTCAGGAATGGAAAACCAAATACCTCATGTTCTATGGGTACACCAGGGAAGGCAGAGTGGTATAATAGACACCGAAGACTCAGAAGTGGGGAGGGTAAGAGGGGAGATGAGGGGAAAACTACCTATTGGGTACAATGTCAACTATTTGGATGACAGGTACACTGAAACCCCAAACTTCACTACTACACCATTCATGTAACCAAAAGCCACTTGTACCCTTAAAGATACTGAATTTTAAAAATATATATGTTCAAGATCTGAATGCTGAAAGCTACAAAATACTGTTGAGAGAAACCAAAGAAGAATTAAATAGCAAGATATACCATGTTCATAAAATGCAAGACAATATAGTTAAAATGTCAATTTTCTGTAAACTGAGCAGAATTCTGTTGTGATTCAATCCAATCCTCTTGAGGACATAAGAAAAAATAAAACTGTTTTTCCTTTTCTTTTTTTTTTTTTTTTTGAGTTGGAGTCTCACTCGGTCACCCAGACTGGAGTGCAGTGGCCGCTCCCGGCTACCACAGCCTCACCTGCTGGGCTCCGGCAATCCTTCCGCCTCAGCCTTCCGAGTAGCCAGAATTACAGGCATGCGCTACCACGCCCGGCTAATTTTTGATTTATTGCAGAGATGAGGTCTCAAACCCACAGGCTCAGGCAATCCACTCACCTCTGCCTCCCAAAGCTGGAGGATTACAGGCTGAGCCACCGAGCCCAGCTAAAACTGTTTTTCTTACTCTCTTACACTCAGCATTTCATTCTGACACCAGATACATAGGGGGTTAATTCCCCACACACCAAGCAAGCAATTATCCAGTGGACACCAACTAGTTGTCCATAATCTAACTCAATTCTGACACTATGTACCTGAAGAGAACGTCAGATCCCATTGGTTGAAGGCTCAGTCCCACAAGACCTCCCCCAACTTCAGATGTCAGTCACAAGCAGTAGATTGTCACCTATACTTCTGACCAACTAACTATAAAATTGAGGGTTCCAACAACCCCCTCTTTGGCTTGATTAATTTGCTAGACTAGCTCATGGAACTTAGGGAAATATGTTTACCTATTTATTTATGAAGGATATTATAAAAAATGCAAGTGAGCAGCCAGATGGAAGAGGTTCATAGGGCAAGGTATTTGAGAAGGGGTGCATTCGTGACCCGCCTGGGAAACTTGGCAAGACCTCATCTCTACAATAAATCAAAAATCAGCCGGGCATGGTAGCGCGCGCCTGTAGTTCCAGCTACTCGGAAGGCTGAGGCGGAAGATCGCCAGAGCCCAGCAAGTCGAGGCTGCGGTGGCCGGGAGGGGCCACTGCGCTCCAGTGACTGAGTGAGACTCCAACTCAAAAAAAAAAAAAAAAAGAAGGGGTGCAGAGCACCCATGTCTTCCCTGGGTGTGTCACCTTCCAGGAACCTTCAGTTATCTGCAAGTTCTCTGAACCTAGTCTTTTTGGGGTCTTATGGAGGTTTATTATGTAGATGTGATTGATTAAATCACTGGCCTTTGGTGATCAGCCTGAAGACCCGCTCCTCACCCCTTTAATTTCAAGGTTGGTTTCCCTGGCAACCAGCCCATATCCTAAGGCTATCCAGGAGCCTACTAAGATGCTCCTATCACCCAGGAAATTCCAAGGGATTTAGGAGCTCTGTGTCAGATGCTCCTATCACTCAAGAATTTACAAAGGTCTTGAGAGATCAGTGTAAGGAACTACAGTCAAAGGACAAATATTAGAACAGAAGATTCTCCTAGTACCTACCTACAAGGGTATTAGGAACTCTGTCTAAGGAACCTGGGCATAAACATTAGAGCAAAAGATTTTCCTACCACCCCTATCGCTTAGGAAATTATAAGGGTTTCAAGGTCTGGGGACAGAGACCAATATACATATATATTTATTATTTCACAAATCTCTTTTTTTTTTAGCAAATTAACAAGGTAATTTATTGTGTATCCTTAGAGTCTTTTTTTTTTTTTTTTTTGAGTTGGAGTCTCACTCTGTCGCCCAAAATGGAGTGCGGT